GACGTCTTGAAGCGGACAGTCAACCATATTCTTCAAGCGTAGTTGTTACCCACTTTTTCATTTACTTACATATCTTATTACCATATGATACTCTTCGGAAGATAAAATGACGGTCCTTTTTGTAAAGACATCGTTTTGTATTATGAAATTTTTCATGACACCCCAAAGGGCTAGTATACCATTCCCACGAATATCTCATCCTGAGGGTGAGCCGATCTTGTTTTTCTCACATGGAAGCCGCTCTTCTTCTTCCTCTCTACGGTCTTTATGGGTTTTATTTGTGCGAGGAAATTTTCTGTTCTCGTGCTCCCATCGCAACTTGCCCTCGCGCTGAATTTGCTTATGATAATCTTTTCCATACTCATCCAATATTTGAACATCGGCTCGAAAAGCCGTTGCTGGATAGTGCAGAAAACTGCTGTAAGACACGGGTTCTGAGTAAATTGAGGCCATATTCAGTGCTGTTAGGGCGGCATGGAGTGATAACACTACAGCATTGTTGTGGGATGCACCGTGTAGTATAAGAAATCCTTCTCAAGCATTTTAGAAATTCCAGAATGCCATGTGCAGAAGGCAGCAGTCCTCCCAAATGACCATGCTCATCATGCTGTTTAGGCTACTCTCTATCCCGAACCGTTGCGCTGAATCGCAGTGTGCTGCCACAAAAACCCAAAAAACTTGGGTCAGGATCACGCTTTTCAGTCCCCAGACAGTACACGCTCAAAAAAGTATCCTCTTCTTCCTCAGGTGTGTTTTTCCACAAAAGGCCCGTTGCGGATGGTTCATCCTAGCTGTCCTCGTAAGATCTGATCGTAAGGAGCGATTTAAAAAACATTCATTTACACGGGATTACACCGAGACGCAACAGTCGAAAGTTCGGGTGTATTCTTTATCAAAAACTCAATTCATACATGTTGTAAATCATGCGTGAGACGGGACGTGATTTACAGTGACTCAGATGACACCGCCAGAATGATAAATTCGATTGGTGTAGGACGCCCTTAGCGAACTTCCTTCTCCAGGGGAGGTTTCCTTTGATGTTCACACAGTGCTGAGTACGGCATAATGTAATGATACAGCGAACGCTCAGTAACGGTAGCCTAAGCGGAATTAAACACATTACAAATTTATACGGTATAGGCGGAGGTGATGTAGCGGGATGGGAGTATACTCACCCCCACATTTAGAACAGCGAAGCTCAGATCGAATCTTGTCGAGGCCATCCATGTTCTCTATCTTCCGAAGTCTGTAAATTGTTATGAAAATTGTCTGGAGAGGGAAAAAAGTCCCGAGTTTTATCGACTGGCCCCCTCAAGGCTTTGCTCTGGCCAAATCACATTCACATGGGACTATGGTATTGAGTGGAAGTGGGATGCGTGGCTTACTCCAGATAGGCTTAATGCCTCATACATTATCTTTTTTAGTCCTCGATAATACTGTGGTCGTTTCAGATTTGGTGCTTTCACATCGGATACCGGACGGCTTGTTCTGGGTGGCAGCGAACGAGGCGAAAAAGGAAACGCATGCTCTGTTCAACTTCTTGATTCCGGTTCACACACTCGCTCGCATGTCGTAAGAAAAGAAGAAAAATTCACGATAAGAGCGAAGGTCAAAGAAGTGGAAAAGTGCATAGTCAGGAGAAAGGGCTACCTCTCTGAGGATGCTCATGGCACTGACCTCGGCGATCCAGCATGGCTCACTCTTGGCGCAGTTGGCGCCCTACGCCCTCCGAATATCTAATCACTCGCAACAGATATACCCTCCCCTTCAAAAAGCGAGAAAGTGTCGGGTGCAGACCATACACCACAAGTGACGACGGCCTTCACAAAATGTTAATGTTTTCTGCCAATGAAATGATTAGCCTGTTGCAGTTGTATTCTATCTTGTCACTAATTACAACTATCATTTACCAAAGCTATCACTATGAACCACTACTAACCAGATTTACTTGGAGGCCGTCGTCAGTTGTGGTGTTTGGTCTGCACCCGACACTTTCTGGCTTTTTGAAGGGGAGGGTATGGCGAGTGATTAGAAAGCAGAGAGGGCGTAGTGTTGAAGAGGGCACAGCGATGAGAGTCGCATCAATGCTCAAATCAACGGGCAAGGAAGGGGTCCCATTTCTCGGGTTTCTGGGCCGTTTCTCATGGTTCTTCTTTCTTTCGCTTACCACCCTTTCCTAAAGAAGTACGATGGCTGAATTCGTGTGTAAAGTGCAAAGGCAGGCTAAGTTTGAGCGGACCCTCATAGCACAACTTTTCAAGAAATCACCTATTTCCATTTTAGTGAATATTCCTCTTACGCAAACTTTTTCGCAATAGCCGTCGCCATCAGTTTTGTAGATGCTTTTGCATTTGTCTATGCACCGGGGCTGGAGTTCAACCGGTTGTTCCCGGGAACGGGGATGAGCTACATTTGCTAGCCTACTTTGATTTTTTGACGGATGTGGAACTCTATAATTACGTGATCGTTTGGATTACTAGCCGAGTTCTTGAATAGGTTCGTTGGCCTCATTTCTGTACTTCAAACACGCCAAACTATTACCCAACAGCTCACAATTTGTAAAAAAATAACCACGTTGATAGATGTCTAGAAAAAGGTTCCCTTATACCATACCGGCTGTCGCATAAGTACGGTAACTCAGTAATTATGCCACAACAACGTGTGGAGCGAAGCACGATAAATCTCTAAAAAATGTTCATTTTGCGTTGCAACAACGGAATAACTGCAAAATCGTTAGATATTGATAATCGTTAGATTGCCTACACCACTAATTACTGTTAGTATAAAACTTCGGGCTACACACTACGTCACACTCGTAAGGGATTAAAATTTGTTCAACGTGGAAAAAAGTCAATGTCCCTAACATTCACACGCATCTCAGCAAGAATCGAAATTTATGAGTGCCTAATCCTCCCTCCTAATATAATGCGATGATTTTGTGATCGGTTTTGTGTAAAAGAGTTCACTGTTGAAGGCGAGGTACTATAAAAAGACACTCAATGTCAACTCCATGGCTAGGTAGTCAGTGCGTAGCATCGCGCTAATGAAAAGACATGAGAAAGGGCCCTACTCCGAGATATGGGAACCTTTTACTGTCGTTGATTTCGTATTTGATACTACTCACATCAGTCGTGCTCTCCTGAAACGCAACGCTCCCTGTGCTGAACGATCTGAGTTTAGACGGCGAGGGAATGGGCGGGTTTCGGCGATGACGGAGCGGGGACGGCCATGTTCCATATCTGGGCATATCATTCGCCACCGAACTGCGTGTCGGTCTACACGTAATAACTTCGCCTGTGTCACATAGGTAGGTTTCCCCTTCTCGACTCCAAACCTTAACGGAGAAATCCCATTTTAAGCGTAGGAAGATATAACGATACAACTCGAAAAAATACAAGGTTGGAAAATCTTCTAAGAATTTCCGTCAAACTACTCAATAACGGTATGAGTAACAGGGTGGTCCAAAATTATGAGGACCCGCTGCGCGCGCAAGTCATATCCACTTTTTTCCGATCTCCATTTCATCTCGTTTTCTGTGCACTATGTGAAAGGGTACAATGTCTTCTTCCTAATGAAACCAAATTTCATGAAGTTCTCAAAACTAGTGAAATAACTACTTCACTTTGAGTCAGTCCTCAAATTGAACTCACTAGGGGCTCTGGCACGTTACATCTAGCAGCAGTCTAACCTATCAGAGAAGCCCTTATGAGCAACAGTTCAACTCTTCAATAAGTTTGGAACCACCACAGATGGAAAATTCGGGGACTCGAAAGTTACAGTTACCACCAGGATAATTATCAGATGCAGAAACTAGGTCTCCCCTTGTCGACTTTCGTACACCCAAAATGAAAAAATTGATGTGAAAACCCAGCCAGACACTCTAAAGACTCCACATCTGTAGTGGATAGAAAGCCACACGAGTAGTCTACTTGGGAACTTCTTACAGGACCGAGCACCCAAGAATAAAGCAAAAATCCTCCAAAAAGCGATTTTTCGAGTTCGTTGCTTTCGAAGAATTGTTACAATGGAAACCCTCCACCTAACAGCTCTAGAATTCTGTATTTTACACCCTGGAGACAAGGTAAATAAATGCCCCACAAAACGTTGATTCCCTGAAGAAAGGCAGAGCAGAAGGCCTGGAAACATTTGGACACGCCTTAGTTGCGTGCCACCGCACGCGCCATCCCCTCATCCGAAGGCTCGTGTTAACGGGGGAAGTGGCAGATCTCAATTCTATTCTGGAATTACTTTGAGGTAAGAGTTACAAATACTTCCCAGAAGTTGGTTTGTTCCATCAAGCTACTATGCGTTTTTAACGACACAATGTCTTGGTCCTCATAATTTTGGACCACCCTGTACATTCCACAATGTATTCTGCGCTAATGTTCCCAAAATCATCTCTAATTTGATTGATTAACATATCGTCCTGACCCAAACCGTAACAATTTATCCTAGAGGGCAAATCCTGCGTTTCAAACAAACCATCAATTGAAACAGTAGAGGAGTCTTTGGAATAAGCCATGGGTTGATATTTTTCAAAAAATTATATGTGTGCCGCCGTGGAAGCGTACGCACTGCGCCCAAGCGCTGTAGCTTTGGTCGAAGGAGACAATGCTTAATTACTTCGCAGATATTCCGCAGTTACGATGCGAAGAGGATAATTTCGGTATCGCGCCTAGATAGCCATAGTTAGATTAACAATTCGCGAACACGGTCGACACTCTGGCGACGCATTTGGGATATCACTCTTTTACCTGATTTTTCTACCAATTTTGATAGTATAAGATATAGCATCGCTGAGTTCGTCTTCGTTGAGTCATTTTCCAAATACAGAAAGCAGTGCAAGTAGCCAAACAACAAGCAGTATACATATCAAAAGTCAGTAATGTCAAGGGCTTCACCAAATTTCCCGTCGTTTTACTCATAATCTCCAGCTCCAGGTCATCCACTGGCATCGTCAGTGGAACAATGGACACAAATGCATCACATCGACAGAAAAGCAGTCGAAAGGAGTAAGGCTGCTTACTCTTCATAGCCATAACGAAGCGACTCACACTGTAAGTCAATTTTTGCCCAGCATTAACTTTGTAGCGTAGCGTTTGTCAAAATCTTGCAGAATTTTGAGGATTCTGTTTCGCTGTGTTATATTATACTATTTTCTCGTTCCTACTGGAGGGTCAGGGTAACCATAGAGAGCTTGCATTGGATGATGCGTTACCTGCGACAGGATGATTTTGAATTTGTAAAAGAGCGTGGCAAACAAAGTAAATATAGCTCTCTCCATATGCACACTAGATAATTTTCTTTTGCTCAACTCAATTCCGAAGTCTCCAAGTGAGAAGCGACCAGCACATTCGAATCTATTATCAGACCCCATGTCAACGGCAAACTGGACCAAATCGACTGGAAAAAAGTCTGTTGGGCGACGGGTTGAGCTCTTGCCTGTTTGGAGATGGTGGTCTGAATATTTGTAAAAGTTTGAATCATGCTGGTGATTTTATATCGAAGTATGGACAATCACGAAAGTCGATAGATTGAAAGTAAATGTCGTCATAGATGTGGGTGTGGGAGACCATACATCGTATCCGGCAGCTGTGCGCTTGAGCAGAACAAAGATATTCTTAGACAATGCCCGTTTGCTAGTAAGGACCCGGAAACTGGGTCTTCCATGACAATGATGCGATGAGTAGTTTCTCGTTTTGTTGCGGGCCTCCCATTGGACAATATTACTGCCATGAAATGACAATCCAAGATCTCGATTGTTCTAACCAGGAAGGTCTTTCAGGGCGTGACCAAGCTTTTTGAAAACGGTCTTTTGCATGATATAGGGGCAGATGCGGGAACCACAGAACCATGTTTAATTTTTCCTGAACGGCCCTCTGAATACCAGAAAAGGGGGTCCCTAGTTCGATTCCTCTTGGTGACAAATTTTTGCATTTCGAGTTGACGTTCCAAAATTCGCGCAAAATGGAGTTCTGATTGTTCTGGTTGGTTCTAACTCCATTTTGGAACGTCAACTCGAAATGCAAAAATTTGTCACCACGAGGAATCGAACTAGGGACCCCTTTTCTGGTATTCAGAGGGCCGTTCAGGAAAAATTGAACATGGTTCTGTGGTTCCCGCATCTGCCCCTATATCATGCAAAAGACCGTTTTCAAAAAGCTTGTCACGCCCTGAAAGACCTTCCTGGTAGTACTCATATAGCAGCTTCAAGCGTTCACATTCCAGTGAAGAAATCCAGCAAAAATTTAATCCGATGCTCACAATAAATTCAGCTTCGGAGCTCCAAAACTAATGTCGACTCTCAAGGAGACCCCGCCATCACTCCATTAAAGCACGGGTCTGGATTAGGTGCCAAGAAGTAGTCTCGAAGAGGGGTCCTCAAGCAGAGGAGGTACGACGCTGTCGCGAGTCAAAAGTGCGCGGCAACGGGGCTAATGCCTTGCCTAGTGTGCAGCCGTGCTTCGTCCAGTACGTGGTGTTTGCACTCCTCTCGCTTACGACGTGCTCTCTCGCGTACCATGCGCTTCCTCGTTTTTAGCCTCTCCTCGCAACGCTGTGTCTCTCCGTTATAACACGGCGCTCTCTCGTGTTCACCTTCTCTTTGCAGCACTGCGTCCCTCGCGTGTTTTTCTCCTCATTGACATTTCTCATTGCAAATCTCTATGTATCAACTTTCGAACAAAATAACAGATCAATTCGATCCTGACCTCTGCCTTTAAGCTATCTATGGATACTCTTACTCCTCGTAAATCTTCGAGAGCTATAATATTGGGAGTAAATCACATTTTTCAATAAAAAGTTTTCGATTTCCAGGAAATAACGTTGGGTTTCTGTATTTCCCTTTGCGGTTGAAAATTCGATTGAATTCTTCAATTGTAGAAGTTCAGCTAGCAATTGCAAACGAATAGTATTGACCAATGGCTCTAAGGCTGAACATTTCTCTGAACTTTGCTTGGAGGAAGAAACACTTTCATGGGGGCGTTCGCTTCTTCGGCTAGATGCGCCTGCGCTCGTTTTCTTCCTAGTCCTCAGAAATGCAATTCGGCACTTTTTTCGGAAGTTTTTTTGTTCATGGGTCACAAATGCACACTCACTACTTGAACAGGTTTCCTTTCCGTCTTTGAGCCTCCCAAGCGATTGGTTTGGGTTCGTTCAACAATCAGTTAAAGTGGGACATTAGGTTCACTTTTTAATGCGGCGTTCACGACAAACTTCATAGTCGTCGGTGCTGAGGTACAAGCTTGAGCGCTCAGTAATGTTCAGCTAGAAGGTGCCACAATATGCTGGAGGTTGAAAGGAGGGAAGTTTACCTTCTAGGAAGAGAGTCAGGCTTCTAGCCGCACGATTCGCAGCGAATGCTACGCCCCTAACGACCTAGTAGGATATAGTGCGTTTCATTGGTATACGTCCACCCCTGATTTTACCAAAAACGTTTCTTGAAGACTTTGCCCAATTTAGCAGCATACATTATCGGATTCACTGTGTTAGAAAACTACGAAAAGCACGTTCTCAAAGAAGTAAGATTACGGGGAAATTTTTTAGAAGTACTTCTTCGATTTTCGACCGTTTCATAATATACGTCCACTCTTAGTATATTTCTCGAAATAAATTTTCCTGATCCAACCGAAGTGCGTGTTTGTACCAGATGTAGAACCGACTAGTCTTCTCGCGATGCCCGTGGTCTCCGTCTTTCTGTAGAGGAAAAGACTCGATTTCGGGCTCTCCATGATGGCGGACTCAGGCATCGGCAAACCACCAGACAAATCGACAGGATTCACTGCTTGCTTTGCTTTCATCTCAGAGATTCTGAAGGCTACCTCGACGGCGAAACTCCTAGACGCCAACGCAAGCTATCCGTCAGAGATTAACGAGAAATTTGGAGGAAAGTTTCCAGCAACACATGCAGCATCAACCAAATCCGTGCAGATTTGTAGGTGTTTGTCTCGAAATCCACCGTAGTGAGGGCTATCAAATGGAGCGGTGACATTGTGAGAGAATTTATGAGCAAGACCCACATCTAACCGGAGCACTCGAGTTGGCTCGTCTTGGTTTTACTCGAAAGGACGCGGCAACGGATTGGAACCAGGTGCAGCTGTAAAACTGGGCGCAGTTTCTGCACTGTAGAGTCTTTCAAATTCTTTGAATAGTCTTCTCCGACGAAAAGAATCATAACCCGGGCGCACACTGGGGTGATCTGAAGAAAGACCCAGTGCAGATCAGCAAGCGCAGGTTTGGTATCGGTTCGCTGATAGTTTGAGGGGTCTTCTGTGGGACAGGAAGCTGGAGCTCGCATTTGTTTTTTACCGAATGGACTGACAAGAGCTTTGGGATCAAACTTATCGCTGTTCCTGAACTGCAGGCGGCGATAAAAGCTAGTTTTCTAGCAGGACAGTGCAAGTGTCCATGCTTACAGGTCAACGTCTGCGTGGTTCTAACGACAGAAAGTGGTCGTTATGGAGCGGCCTGCACGCAGTCCTGATCTGAACTCCATAGAAAACTTTGGGGTGTAATTGTGCAACAGGTTCACGACAACAAAAGGCGGTTTTCCAACTTCTACACAATGAAAAGGCGATCATGGACGGGTGCTGCAGCATCGGCCCTTCAATCCTCGGCAGTTCAACAGTGAGTATGTCACATTGACTCATAGAGCTGCCATTCGAACAGAGAGCACCAATTGACAACTTATTTTCATTGAGCACTTTCTGACTTTGCATAAATAAACAGAAATTCAAAGTGGACGTATACTATGAAACGGTCAAAAAACGAAAAAATGCTTCTAAAAAATTTCGCCATAGACTTGCCTGTCTGAAAACATGTGTTTCGTAGTTTTCCTGGACAACGAATCCGATAATGTATGCTGCTAAATTGGGCCAGTCCTTCAAGAAACGTTTTTGGTAAAATCAGGGGTGGACGTATACCAATGAAACGCACGTAAGTGGCAGCGCTCGCGTCTCACACGCTCGCAAGCTGGCTATGCCCTCGTCGTCGGACTCTAGCCTTGAACTACCTGGCTTAGCAGAGGGGCAGAGAAAGACGTTCACGTTAATGAGCATCGATGAAATCGCCCCAAAGCTCAATTCTATGGGAGAGCGGAAGCCCTACTTCACGCGCTTTAGACCCTTTTCCCTGTTTTTCCCCTCCATTTCTGCATCATTAACCAACTCAACTTTCATTTCCAATTGGCGATAAATTTGCCGTAAAATCCAAATGATGCGGTCAAAAACCGTGGAACCAATTGTCATTTTTAGCCGATGGTTTCCCGTTTATGCCACCGTACGGATCAGAGTTCGTTTGTTGGCATGAAATCAGAGTATGGTCTTATTCCCACCTCCAACCCAACACTGATTATGAGTTTGTAAGAGAAGTTTCGGGGCAAATTTCACCATTTCCCTATAACATCGCCGCAGAACGTCTCTGAGTCACATCGCGGGCAGGGTAGCATCGTGAACGCTGTGCCTTCAAATAAAACATGCTGTCAGGTCCGTGCTAACGTGATCGGGTATTGCTGTGAAAATGAAAATCGGGATCTTAGTAGACGTCAAAGAAAACAGGTCTCGGTTCCAGTTATAATTAAATTTATGCATTTGCAGCTCAGCAGCCATTCTGATGAAGACTGATTGCTGTAGAAACACATTAAATTGAATAATACAGCTGCTCGATTTCGTTATTTACATAGGTCTCTTCTCTTCCGTTTGTGACGTTGCAGGGCGTCTCACTCACGACCTTTATCAATTGAAGGAGCGGTGCTGAAGCACGGACAAGGGAACTGCCTTCTATCAATTTGCCCCTGTGGCTAAAAGAGCATACGTACTGCAATGGCAAAAGATGTTGTCATACTTGCGAATTGGCAGTACCGACCTATAACTTAAGCCAACATTAATATATGCTCTACGAGACGTGCCGTCCCAACAGGCAAAGCAGCGGCGAACATCCTAATGGCTTTAAGAGGCAAATCCCTGGTATAACGTCTGATGCATAAGAGCGCTCCGGTGTGATACTGATGCTGGAATAGGCCTGAAAATGGAGAATGGAAGCCAATCGCTTAAACAATGCTCAAAACCCTCAGTAAGGTTGAAGGCATCGACAGCGAGACCATGGCAATCAAAGGAGGACGAAACGCTTGAGAGAGTATGCTGTTTGCGAGAGCGCGCTGATCTCCACATCTTGCTGTGGCTGGGGAGCGTTGCAACGGGGGTCAGGGACGCCAAATTCACTTTCGAGGTTACTGTAATTGAACTAGTTGAAGCTCGCCGCTTGATTTTGAGGATGGTAATTTCCTGAAGAAATGCAGATATTCCGAACCGCATCTTCCCGAGTGAGTGCGTGAACAGTGTTGAAAATGGAGTTGGAGGGCTACACCATTGTGCTGAGCATCATTAGTGCTACGGATATGTCCGGCGCTAAAGATGAGGGTCCTGGTGTCACGCTTTGCAGTAGATTTTTATCAGAACGATATAGTAGTGTCCCAACATCCTACACGTCTCCAATGTCCGTAACGTGGTCACGTGCGTCTGCGCACTTCTTTTATTCTTTAGCGTTTGTCCCACCCTGTGGCGGGGTCCGCTTTCCTGGTATTACGACGCCACTTTTCCCGATTATGTGCCTGATCGGGGTGAAGGCCAACTAATTTCAAATCCTCATGCAACGTATCAAGCCATCGTTGCTTCGGGCGTCCTCTTGGCCGCTTTCCTGGCACGTTAAAGTCTAGACCGATCTTACGGACACTCTCATCATTAGCGCGAAGGACGTGACCGTACCACCTCAGGCGAGCTTCGCGCATCTTATCAGCGATGGGAGCCACACCGAACCGCTTTCTGATGGTATCGTTGCGAATGTGGTCTAAACGGGTAACCCCCGGCAGTCCAGCGCAGCATTTTTGTCTCCATTACACTGAGACGAGCCTCAACCTCTTTAGTCACGGGCCAGCACTCTGCTCCGTAAATGGCGACTGGTCGGACGACGGTTCTGTAGATCTTAGATTTCAGTCGCTCTGGTATTTTCTTATCGCAGAGAACGCCGGTCATCGAGCGCCACTTGGACCAAGCTGCACTCACCCGGGAGTTTACTTCAGAGATCAGGCTGCCGTCGGACGCGATTGCCGACCCAAGATACTTGAACGATGTTGTACGTGTGAGCTCAGTGCCACTGATCTTAATTGTGCCTGACTCACTCAAATCGGTGGTCAAGTACTCTGTCTTCTTCACATTCAACCTGAGACCAAACATAGCGTGGTCGGTCGCAAAGGAGCTTTTCTCTTGCTCTTTTCCCCTTCCACCCCTCTCCTCGCCCTTAGGTGTAGGCAGTCCAGCCCTAGGCACAGGATCGCTTTTCCGCTCCATTCGAGGCCGAATCAGCCTTTCCTTATCGAAAAATTTGCTTTAAATGAGGGTGTGAAATCTTCTTCCATAGTACTATGAACGCTCTTATTCGATCTTTGGCATTGGAAAGGCAGAGCACAATTGAGTGGCTGCCATCAACTCCATTTTCACCGTTGGCAGTCATACCACGGGAACCTTCGCCATGAACTTCATAGCTTACAAAATGGCTTGTGTTATGATATTCGTTTTTTTGTTTCTCGAAACCATGGAACTACAATGCTCTTGAGAAAATTCCAGAGCACAGAGGTAGTTGTTGTGACAAAGACGACTCCTCCGCTTTGCTGGCGGACGGAATCAAGGGCACGGCGCATGCTAGGGAGTAATTGCCGCTTTCGCGGTCCACGAATTGTTTGTTAGTACGAAATCCAAAAGATATGATTCCAAAAGCAAATTCACGCAAAAACGGACTCTCGTTGAAAAGGAAACCTGAAAAAATCAGGCTTAACCATGACCAGTGTAACACGTATTATCATTAGTACTTCTCTTTTTAGGTTAGGATTGCGAGAACGGGAGCTACGCTTCGGCATCATGCCTAACCAGGTGTCATCATCAATTGGTAACTGTCCCATACCGAGTTTGGAGGTTTGTCCTCCCACATACTACAGGTACGGTAGTTTTAATCTTGTTTTGAGCTCGCTCAGAATTTCTCGGTCCATTTACCATCAGTGACGACCTTGTTTCTGGAACTTTACATTTTCTGGTATTTTTATAGTGAATATCATGGATAGTTTCAGGTCGTACTCTGGTCTTTGTAACAATGTAGCACAACCGGAATGGGGTACAAGTCACACAGCACTTTCCCGAATACTGAAACCTGTTTATGCTGACGGTTTGTGAGCAACAGTTAAATTCTTAGAAATCCCAAAGTCCATTAAAAAGAAGAACGTATACTCAGAGATTAACAAAAAGGACAAAAATAATTGAAGCTGAATGGAAAAGATCACACTGAAGTGAAACTTGTGGAGAGTATCGTCGACGGGTTTTAAAACGGAGGGTGTTCCATGCTCACCTCTTCTTTTTGTCCCCTCATAGCCATCCCCTCTAACTCGCTATAGTAAATTAGAAGGCTGATACCGGCTCCTAAACTTCCGAAATAGTCTCCTGTCACTATTTCACGTGGCCAAAGATTTTCCATAGAATACGACCAATATAGGGGAAAATTATGTGGTGTACTGTAGCTGCCAAGAGTGGGCCTTCATGTGGTACTGTTGCTTTCAATTTTCACCTCGATTCAAACATTTTATGAGCTGAGATAAACTACCACAGCATTCGGAGACCGGTCATCAGAATCCCGTAGTGGGTAGAAGGCATCTTGAATATCTAGCCAAGGGAAGTAGTACCGTTACAAACACAAAACGTTCAAACGGGGCAACTTCTAGGAATCAGCTTAGGAAAGGGCAGAACTTTGGGAAAAACGAAAATTGCTCATCCACGCTAGATCCTCTACTCTTCTGCTTTGGGTCTAGTCACAATTGAAAAAAGGTGTGTTTTCACGCGGTTCTGAATATTGAATTCACAACCCCACATGTACCCACCCCATTCTTGCTGTAGCGTCTTGATGCGATGTAAAATCAGGAACCATGAGTGGTAGCCACAAGATGTGCAGCCGTTAATGAATTAAAGAGAATAAGAAGGGCAAGGCAGAGGGAGGTTTCGCATAAGAATGAAAGTATAAAAGGACGATCGAGCGAAAAGAAAATAAAAACTGAGCTTAGTTACACCATTTGCCTAATTAGTGTTTCCTTATAGTTAGGGAGGCTCAGAAAGGGATTTTCAGGCGTTTCATCTCCTCGCGAAGCTGTCAGTGGTCAGCCACTGCCGCCAGTACGCGGCCTATCGCTTACCCTATTCAGCCCACTGTCCACAGTGAGTATTTTATTATCAGCGTAATTTCTTGATTTCCCTCACAAAGGATTTCATGGGAAAAAGCCAAATTGGGAGGAAAACTTAGGAGTCGTTGCTTAAATTCTGTTATTAAGAGCCATCCCACCGTGACGTCGCTGTTTCCGCACTGGATGCAGTTCATCTCTTCTGACATGCTGAATATGGTGGAGACGCAAGCGTTGATTGACGGTGAGGAGTCTTCGGTCTGTTTACAAGCTAGTATTTACACTCGAGCATACCCGTAGTACTCACGAGTGTACTGATCGCTTTGTAAGCCGAAACACCAAGATCGTGAAGCCGACTGGATACCCCCAGTCTTTGCATTCCTGACTCATGCTGGTGGGCGGCAGGTCTAGGCGGTGGTGAGATCACCTACGAATGAGGGGTACACTGAGCGCTGCGTGGCCCTGCAAACAGATTTGCAATGCGCAAATGCGACCTCAAAACCAGGGGTTGCTCTCACAAGCAAAGGCTCCTAGGTCGCTATGGCCTTCCGAGAAGAGATGCTTTCAAATTTCACTGAACGGAGTCATGAAGCAAAAACAGCGCAGTGATAGTGGTCGGGACTCAGAGTCAAAACGTCGTATTCGGCTCCCTTATTCGAGTCTTACTCCCATTCATTTTAAGAGCGCAGTAACGGCTTTTGATAGCCTTTTAAAGTGAATTTCTGACGAATTCAAAACAGTAATTACACGATAGGGGATCGATCCTACGACATTTTGACTGTGAGTCTCGACCACTACCGTTGCGCTGTTTTGCTTCATAACTCTGTTCAGAATAATCGTTTAGCACATTTGGAAGGTAGATTTGAGATCAGCGTTCGAAGGACTATACACCTCTTTCTGAATGGCGTTCTGGGAGCCTTTCCTTGTCAGGTGTTGCCAGAGAACGGTTTTAAACAGTGACGCTTGACAGTTTTAGCTGGAGATAATGGTATATGTCATTACGATTGCTAACATCCACGTTTTGAGGCCGCGTACGTCCATTTCCATGTTGTCGTCAAGGCTTCTCGCATCCAGAGTGCGACCCTATCGATATTCCCACAGCAGATCCTGCCTTCAGGTATGATTGAAGCGTTTAATCTTGATGCCGTGTGTGTGCCATGTGCCTGTATTTTCTCGCACTTATAAGTTGCGGTAGACAAGTAGTGAATGTTTTGTTGAAAATTCTTTTTTGTGGAAGGGAACATCCACAATCTGCTTTTAAACCGTTCACTGAGAAAGCGCCTTCGTGCCGATGACTTTAGTTGTATATTGATCAGGTGGAGCAGTACATAGAAAAAGGTGGAAAGTTCAAAAATTACCTGCTCCTTCAGGTGTTTGTTAAGTCCATGAAGGGTCATCTCACTAAAACAAAAGTACATTCAAAAGAAGAGATCACTGCAGACGTTTTTCGCCACAACTCATGTGAAACTTGATACTTTTGGACGATTTTCTAGTATATTAGAATCAGTAGTACTAAAAAATGGGTCTCAGCTAAACTCTCTAGAATTCTCTTTATTTCATTTTGATGATCAATTGGTCACATTTTTTCGAACGTGATAAAACTTCACCTACTTCAACACTAGGAAAGATAATCTGAAAACTTGCTATTTTCGTGGATTTTCACAAGGAAAAGACATTTCCTCGAAGGAAATTGATCTTACGCCTCTTGCGCCTGTCATGGAAATCGATGGAGCATTAAAAATATTGCCAGAATCAGCTAAAATATCAAGTTTGACACGAGCGGCGTCTGCGGTGATTGCTTTTTTGACGGTGCTGTATTTAGCCTATGATCATGTT